ACATCCAACAATCATTTTTGAACAGTCGTTTCCGAAAGGGCAGGACAGGCGGTGGGATGGGCCGAACGCCAGCCGATACGAGCCGCCTTCACGGACCTGCTTCAGCCGGAGCGCCTCCGATGAGGCTTCGAGCACATCCACTATAGCTTTTGGAAGGACGTCGCGTGAGCTGAAACCGGGTGAATCTGTCAGGCAGAGACAACACACCCGTGGCATGCCGCCTCCGAGGTGAACCAAAACTGCCACGGGAGATTCGCAACGTCGGTTGCACGGCATCTGTTTTGGTTTCGAGTGGCTGTCCATCCAATGCTGGCCCGTGGCTACGCGGAGACTCGGGTGCTACTCGTGCGGTGGGAAGAGGCCTCAAGATCGGCCCAAGATGGCCCAAGAGCGTCCAAGAGCTCCCCAAGAGCGGCCCAGGAGGGCATCAAAACGCCCTTTGGTAGCCCCCGATGGGGGGGGAGGGAAATAAAGTACTCCCCCTTCTTTTGAGCCATGGGCCCCAAACGGCCCCAAGAGACCTCTCATACTGCCCAAAAGAACCCCAAGAGGGCTCCAAGATGGCCTGAAAATATCCCCAAGAGGGCCCCAAGAGGATCCCTGGAGCCCCAAGATGGCTCCAAGAGACCCCCGAGAACCTCTCAAAACAACACCTCCACCTGCCTGGGCATCGTCGTTGGATGGGCTGGTGGGCATACGCGAAGCCTCCGATCCTGGGCCGCTGGCGGCTGGGGTCGCTTCCGAAAGGGCGAATAGAAACACTGGAAACTGTAAATCTGCTCAAAACTGGTTCCCAGACCCCTCACGGGGTCCAAACGGTCCAGTTTTCCGAGCTGCGTCGAGTCGTGGCGACGAGGGGGTCCGCCGAAGGCCAACTACGGCAGGTTCGCGCCGCGACGTCGTCGGCGTTGGTCGCTGACACCGCGTGGATCGTTCAACCTTGAACGATCGGCCATTTTCCGATCGAAAGATCGTTCCCTAATGAACGATGCTGGGCCACTGGCGGCATTCAACCTTGAACGCCCGCGCTGGGGCGCTGGGGTCTCTTCCGCGCCGACGCCGCGCGAACCTACCGCACCGGTGTCTCAAACGCGCCTCCCCTGAGAGAAGGAATAGTACAGGCGAAGAAGGTAGGAGAGTCGGGGAGGTGAAATGGAAGAGGAGGGCGGCAGCAGCGAGAACAGCGGCAGCAGAAAGAGGAGGAGGCGGCGGCGGATGCGCACCAGGCAGGAGCAGAAGATTGTTTCTATCCTCGTTCCAACAGGCACGGGCGCCGACGCGCGGTTAGAGCTGGCAGGCGTCCGCCTCTCCTCGTCATCCTCTCCTCGTCATCCTCTCCTCGTTTTTCTTTCTTCCCCCTCCTGCTCCCCATCCGCCTGCTCCTCCTCCCCCTGCAGGAGCGGCGGCGGCAACGGCGGTGGCGGCAGTGGCTGTTTTGGGGCCTCTGCGGGAGCTTCCCGGGGGACTATTGGGTGCCTGTTGGGGGGCTCATTGGGCCTCTTGAGGGCATCTTGGGAGCGTCTTGGGCCTCCTGGGGGTCTCTTGGGGCTGAGGGCGCGAGAGGCCGTTCAGATCCCGCGTTTGGGCCTCTTCTTGGGGCCGTCTTGGGGCCCCTCTTGGGCCGTCTTGCGCGCCTCTTGGGCCGTCTTGGGGCCCTCTTAAGCCGTCATAGGGTCGTTTTGGGGGGCCTCTTGGGCCTCCTTGGAGCGATCTTCGGGGCCTCTTGGGCCGTCTTGGAGCGCCGGGAAACCGACGAGGCTAGAACTCGGAAGACCACCAAAAAACACTGGAAAAAAACAATGAAACATGCTTCCCTGGCCTCTCTTGGGAAGCCTCTTGGAGGTTTCTTGGGGCGCCTTAGAGGCGTGTTGGGACGTCTTGGGGCCATCTTGGGCGTCTTGGAGCGATCTTCGGGCGTCTCGGGGCCCTCTTGGACCATCCTGGCGGCCTCCCGGAGCTGCTTGGCCCGCCTTGGGGCCCCTCCTGGGCCGTCGTGGGCGCCTCTTGGGCCATCTTGGGGCCCTCTTAAGCCGTCATGGGGTCGTTTTGGGGGCCTCTTGGGCCTCCTTGGGGCGATCTTCGGGGCCTCTTGGGCCGTCTTGGAGCGCCGGGAAACCGACGAGGCTGGAACTCGAAAAAACACCAAAAAACACTGAAAAAAACAATGAAAAATGCTTCCGTGGTCTCTCTTGGGAAGCCTCTTGGAGGTTTCTTGGGGCGCCTTGGAGGCGTCTTGGGACGTCTTGGGGCCATCTTGGGCGTCTTGGAGCGATCTTCGGGCGTCTCGGGGCCCTCTTGGAGCATCCTGGCGGCCTCTTGGAGCTGCTTGGCCCGCCTTGGGGCCCCCGGGGGCCCCCGTGGCACACATTTGTGGTCGAGGTCGTGGCTCCCGGGCCCCCGGGCCCGATCCCCGCTTATATGTATACACGCGCACGCACGCACGCACGCACGCACACAAACACGCACACACACACAAGCACACACACACACACACACATGTACGCACGCACGCACGCACGCACGCACACACACACACACACACTCACGCACGCACACACACATAGACGCACGCACGCACGTACGCACGCACACACATACGCACGCACACACATACACACACAAACACACACACACACATTCACACACACACACACACACGCACGCACGCACGCACGCACGCACGCACGCACGCACACACACACACACACACACACACACACACCACACACACACACACACACACACACGCGCGCGCGCGAGCTTTTTAGCCGTCGAAGCCTCGCGCGCAGCGCGAGGCCGAACACACACACACACACACACACATACACACACAAACAAACAAACAAACAAACCCACCGCACACGCACGCGTGCACACACACGCACGCACACACGCACACACACACACACACGCACACACACACACACACGCACACACACACAAGCACACACACACACACGCACCACACACGCACCACACACGCGCACAAACACACACACACACACACACGCACACGCACACGCACACGCACACGCACACGCACACGCACACACCCACACACACACACACACACACACACGCGCGCGCTTGGCCAGCGTTGTGCCCCCTTCGGGACAGTCGCGAATGTTTTACCATAGGGGGCCACTGTTGACCCGTCGTGTGAGCCATCAAAAGCGGGGGGGAAAAACGAATCCGCAAAAAAAACAAACACATTAGAAATCAAGTATTGTTGTCTCCTGGGGGCCTCTGAGGCGTGCTTCTTCGGGTCCCTCTGGCCCTCCTGGGGGGCCGTTTCGGGCGTCTTGAGCCGTCTTGGGCGCTTTGAAACTGTCCTTGGGCACTGCTGGGCAAACCTAGCCGGGGGGAGAGCCAAGAAGCCCTGGAGGGGTCAAGGATTCCGGTGGTCTCAGGGGGAAGTGGGGAATACAGGAGGGTGTTCTGGCCCTGGGGCCCTGGCCCCCCCTACCCTGGAGTACGCTTCACGACATCACCGACGCGTTGAAGGGCTCAAACAGAAATCGGGGCAAACGCTCACGACTCACCTTGGGATTCAAGAGCGCGCTTGTACCGCGCTCAAAATGACTCCGTCACTCTACACAGTCGCTAAGGTTCCAGCCGATGGGATGTTCTAACATTCGATGTGCATGGTGCACCAGGGCCTAAGCACGATGGATAATGTGCAATATGGGTTAGGCCAACACGTTTGCACGCCGTATGCTGCTTGCGGATCGGTTCGACGAGTTCGCAGCTGCACGCGACACGAACATGTCATTACGGCAACCGTGGCTACAGAGAAAGAGAGGACACGCGAATGTCAGTGAAAGAAGCAGGAAGGAGGAGTGGAGGAGAGAGAGAGAGAGAGCGAAAAGAGACAGAGAGAGGTGGTGTGTGAAGTGTATGTGTTTGTTGCTCTGCCAACGAGCTGCCCAACTCAAGTGAATACATTGCCAAGCCTTTCCTTTCGCCTGCGGCTGTCGCTGCCGTTGCGCATGCGCTGTGCTGCAACCTTCAAACCACTCTTCGGCGGTCGGCCCCGGTCCGGCGCTCTCGCGTCTGCATCGCTTCTGCGACTCTTGGAAAAACACGTCTGGCTTTTGCTGGTTCCGGGTGCCGACGTACTACACTGTTCTCCGCAAGCTTGACCTCCTGGGTTCACTGCGTATGTGTAGATTCGTGCGGAATCACTGCTGCATACCACCTCGTCGCACACGGAGTGCCGGGGATTGTTCCACGGCCTGCATGGGATCGCGGCTTGCAACATGCCTCGCTGCTCGTCAGAAACATGTTTTTCTCCTGGAGTTCTGGAAATCACCTCCGGAGGCTGAACAAGGGGCGCCGAAGCGTCCGAAATCCCCAGAACTCGAATCTCTAACAAGCGGCAGTATGACGGGTTGTGTATGCGTATGTGTGGCGTGCGTGTGTTTGTGTCCGCCCCGACCGTTTGAGCTTGACCCAGACCAGATGTGGTCGTGGTCGCACCTCGATGATGCAGCCAGCACTGGGCAGTGCTACATGACCGTCTAGCCGAGTTCTTTTGTGGCTCGCGAGCGTTGACAGTGTTCATCCGAAAGACCCAGACATCCGATGTCTTCGCTTTTTCAATGCAGGGCCCTGGGAGTGCTGCCCCGTTCCCCAACTCATCCCGAGTCGTATCGACGGTCACGTGAGTCTGGAAGCGGCCCCTGGATGCCGAAGACTGCGACAAACAACTCCGCCTTGCTTTTGTAATGACGATCGACTAACGCACACCCCTTATCCATAAGGTGGAGGGAGGGCAATGGGTGCGTGTTCTCGGGTAGGGGTCCACGCTCGAGCGGGAACCTCCCCCAGGTTCCGACAACCCGAACCCGTACCCACAGCCGGTCCTCCTCCCTCCGACCCCCCTATGGGCGTGTGCGTGTGTGTGCGCGTGTGTGTGTGTGTGTGCGTGTGTGTGTGCGTGTTGTTCGCTCGCCGTATGAGACGTTTGGATGTCCGGAGCAGGCGCCCGGCCGAGTCTGCCTGGAGCTCCGAGCGCTCAATCACGTCGCGGATCTCCCCGCTGAACACGTAGGTGTCCGCGTCCAGGAAGAGCGCCTTCGCGAAGGGCACCCTCGGGGCCGGCACGGGCGCACGCTCGCGGGACGGGGGGCGCGCTGCTGCGCGGGCGGTGGGCGCGACAGCGTGCTCACATGCCGCAGCCCATCTCCCTGCCCATCGCCCCTACCCCTCCCCATACCATTCCTCCTCCTCCTCCTCCTCCTCCTCCTCCTCCTCCTCCTCCTCCTGCCCCTCCCCCTCCTCCTCCCTCCTCCTCCTCCTCCTCCTCCTCCTCCTCCTCCTCCTCCCTCCTCCTCCTCCTCCTCCTCCTCCTCCTCCTCCTCCTCCTCCTCCTCCTCCTCCTCCTCCTATGTGGCTATGTGACTATAAAGCGGGAGTGTCATACAAGCACAACAAGCCCCTGAAAAGAAGGTTAGTCCGCCCTCCTGGCCCGCAGTTCACGGCCTGATAAGGATAGGGGGACGGACTGGGTGAGCCGAGCTCCTGAGTCGGGCAGGAAGCCACGCCTCAGCTTCCTGCTCTCTGAGCTGGCCTTGGTCGTGCACGGGCTGGCGAGCTTCTCACCCACTTTACAAAAGGTGCACGCGCCACACACGATACAATGCACAACGGGAAGGCCCCCCCTCCAACCACGAGACGTGGAGTACGTGGTTCCTGCGGGGGCCCCTCAAGAACTCAGCGAGGCATGGGTTCAGACCATCACACTCAGCACGGCGGTCCCTGATACAGACCGCATAGAGGACCGCTTGGCGCCCTGGGAGCCTGAAGCACAGGTTGCAGCTCCGACGTCCTTGGTGCCAGACTTGAACGTGGGGGGTGACAGGCTCGGGAGTTGAACTCGGGCCCACACGAACCCGACCCAACTCCCCCAACTCCCCGAACATCGGCCAACTCCCAAGCACCTTCCCCGCACGGTGACTTAGACCGGTATACATCTTAGCACCTTGCATCGACCGAAGAGATCATTGCTGAAAATGTGGGCTCGCGCAGCCTGCCCAGCATGGTAATCAGCAAATTCGCTACCATTCACAAACAGCACCTGGTCATCTGCCACACTCTCCTCGCCCCTGTGGGCCTTGACTGTGCCAGCGCAGCCTCGGAGGGTCCCCAGGGCGTCAGCGGGCGATGCCCCTCCGAAAGTGGGGCTTCGGGTTGGCCCTGGACAGAGCTCACTGGTGGGCCTCGGTGCCCTGGAAGAGAGTGGCACAGTCAACATAGAGAGAGCCTGCCTGACAAGCACCAGCTGAGTAAACTGTCGCAATCGGTATCGCACAAAACCCTGCGCACGCACTGGACTGCCCCATGTTGCTTGGAACACTGGCCCTAATCCCGCAAACCAGGGCCCCGTCATCATCGACTTGGACAACACTAGCTCCCGCGCGAGACAGGTGGCTAATCTGCGGGAACAGGCAAGAGCCACCACTGAATAAGGAGGCTCCCGCAGGGAACTCGGACGGCTCAACGGGCCCTCCTTGAGGTCCGAAGAAGTGGTGCACCCAGTCCGACTGGGGGCCATTCGAAAAGTCTATACGAGTTATCCAGGCACGGCAAAAGAGTAACGAGCCAGGGCCAGATTCTAGAGTCTGTTGGAAAAGAGACTAAAAGAAGACCTCTTGGCGGACTGCTGACGCAACCGGGCGCGAGCAGGACCAAACGCGGTGCCGCGCTGAATCGTTCTGGCCACACCTAGTGCACACAGCACTATACTTGATACAACCCCACCTAGACGAGGCCTCCCCTGTGGGCATGGCCCCACAAAGCAGCTGCTTCACTCCCAGTTTTTTGACGTGGGTGGGCCCGAATGTCTGGGAGTTCACCTTCTGCTTCCAGAGCTTCCAACAGAGTCCTCGGGTCTGGAGTTCCTGCGTGTCGAAGACCGTCTTCTCACAAACCTTAACAATATGTTTCTGGATGTACTGGTCTTTGAGCTGGATGGAACAGGTCCGAGCCACGAAAGCGGGGCTGACCTCAGCGCAGTTCACAGCATGGCCGCTGGAGTCGACAGAAATTCCAAGGCTAGCGTATGTCCATCCAGCCTCCTCGCACAACAAAAGCACATCGGTAACTGGCCCTCTGGGGCGAAAGAACCAATTACTCCCTGTAGTCCCCTCTATGTGACAGGCGGCGGAGACGGCCGCTTGGCGCAGCAGCTGGCCGTCAGCACGTCGCCGTGGACATGCTCGTTCTTGTGGAAGGCTGTGGTCATCCAAAACTCCGCTGCATGTATACCTATACTTACGCTTGCGATGTCGAGCGGGTCCAAGTGCGACGAGAGTGCCCATCCGAGGTCCACCTGGGGCACCCCCGAGTCCTTCCCCGATGCCGAACGATTCTGCCCAACTTGATGTGGGCTGAACGCATGCACGTCGCTCCCACAAGTCAGGGTCGCCCTCAAGTTGGCCTACGAGGGTCGTTGTATTGTATGTTGTCTCCTGTTTTCTTGCCCAATGCAATCGTCTCATTCATCTTCGTCTGGCGTCGTATTTCACCCGTCGCGTAGCGCTTGCACGGCGCGCCCCAGGGCGAAGACGGCGTTGGCCCCCCGAGAAGTCCACTCCCAAGTTAGTAGGATCCCCTCCATCATGAGCCCCAGCGAGGTATTGGAAGGCTTCCCGACCTAGCTTCAGAAGTGGACACGACGACGAAGCAATCCCAAACTTGCGGTAGGCCAATGGCAATAATAGATCGTCGACCAAATTCGAACGGACCGATTTGGCCAACATCTGGAATGCATCCGCCACCCACCACCCCAGTTGTTGGAGGGCGGGGCCATCCACGTGGAGGGAGAGGGCAACACGATTAGCAATGTTGGCCGTGAGTCGGGGCCACACTTGCCTTGAGGAAAATCCCAGCAACGTGCGCGGCCGTGGCCGAGCCTGCAACGATCCCGCGGCGTGGATGCAGCACTGTATGAGCCCTTTTCAGCATGAGGTGCCTCGGCCACTGGTATGTGCCTAGGGCGAACGTCAGCAAAAACAGCGGGCACTGGCTATGCCGAGCAGCCCTGACTAAGACATCATTCGTAACATGTTAATAGACTTGCTTTATGCCCCGCAATACTTGCAACGCGAATCCCCAATAATTCCTAGCGCGCTCTGCTGCAACAGTTTGTCTCCGAACCGTGTCAGACGGGGGCCTCTTGGGGGCCGTCGAGAAGCCAGAACCCGCGCCGCGCCCCATCTCCCAGGGGCGCGCCTGATGTGTCTGAGTATTGCCGAATACTCGAACGCGCCCTCCAAACCGTCCGAGCGGCCTCCTAGCAGTCGGGCCAGGCTTGGGAGCGAGGAAGACGACAAGGCGCTGCACTTGGCGAGGCGCAGCGCCAGTGACCTGCATCAACTGGCACATCAGCTGTGCGGCGCATTGGCGCTGGTCGCAGAGAATGGGCATGTGATTGGGGTGCCAGAAGCCTGGCGCGCACGCGTTGCTATTGAAGTCCAGGGGCAAGCTCGGATGGTGCCGACCGCTGGTCGCTTGCCTACTGGGGCCCCGCCATGGAACAGTTCGAATGGGTCTGAAGGGGCCCCGAGACACACCAATAAATACACACATATAAAAATATGCCAATTATTTTAAGTATTTTCTGGGTTTCTGTCTTCCCCCCCCCCACTTCCCATATTTTCAAATCTTTTCTGGGGAATCGAGGATGAATTGTGTCTGTGTGTTTCTTTTCCTCCTGAGGGTCATGGGGCCCATCGGTAGCCGCCCACGCGTTCTTCCAGAGGTCTCGCTGGTGCTCCAGTCGGGCCCGCAGCGAGTTTCTGCGGGGGGGGGTCTTGATCTCCTGGTCGGTTGGCTCAGGCGGGCCTCCGGGGGGCTTCGGGACTTCGGCCTCCGCCAGGAACCCGCGAGCCCTGCGAGCCCCGAACTCCTCGACAATTTTGGAGACACGGTTGCCCCCATCCTGCCCCGTCGAGCTGGCCCCCGGCCAAGAACGCGCAGTTGTTGCAATCCTCGGCGAACTGGGGGGCATAAGCGAAGACAGCGCGGCCCCCCTCTGGGCCGACCATGGGCGGCATGACCCATCCGTTCCAGATCGGATGTCAACCAGAGCCTCCAGCAATCCGGGACATCCGAAACGGGCCCCCCCGACTTCTGGAGGCGCGAGCTGCTCGACTGGCATCCCAAGATAACCATCAGAACTCGGGGTCTTCCCTCGGCCGAAGAGAATGGATATCCTCCCGAGACGACCTACCACCCGGCCAGGGGCTCTGGGGCGCTGGGCATCTTCGACGCGCCGCGAGCACACTGAAACGAGGGCGTTCCCCCCGCTCCACGGGTAGACCACCGCGCGCGCCTGCGGGGGGGGCGCCTGTGACATCCTTGAGCGCCGCCCATGCGATCCCGGTCCACTTGGGGGAAGGCAGCGTCGATCACCGAGATGGCCCCATCTCGAGCGACCCCCCTCAAGCGCAACAGGTTCAGCGTCAGCCCCCCTAGCCAATCAGAAAAGGCGATGGGAGGTCCCAGTGCAGCTTGATAGTCGGGCGGCCCCCGTCGAGGCCCAATGGGGGGCACTGGAGGGAGCTACTGGCGCGCCACGGGGGCCTGAGCAACGACACCCTCGATGTCAATTCCTATCTGGATGACCGCGGGCCTACGGGGCTTTGGAGGGGCTGAGGGGTCTGTGGTAAACTCCCTCACCGCCGCGCCCAATCCACTACGCGCGATGAAAAAGACGATCGTGCTCTCTCTCTCTCTCTCTCTCTCTCTCTTTCTCTCTCTCTCTTTCTCTCCGGGTTCGCCGTCCACCGCCGACGCGCAGGATGAGGCTTTGGGGTCAGCGCGCGCCACGCCTCTGATGAGGCGCAATGTGAAGCTCAACGTCACAACGCTTGGCGAAACATTGAGATCCCCACTGTGGACGCACGGCAATCCTCGCAGCGCAACCGCAGCCCCGAACTTCCCCGGGATGTTAATGTTTCGCAGCGGAAGCCCATCGCTATCATGGAGATAGAAGGAATAGAGCCCCAAGAGCCCAAGGCTGCGGCGTTTCATATAGCAGTAGCAGCGACGCCCGGGCACCAGAACAGAGTCGGCGCACAAGGCCTCCAAGTGGCCCTTGCTGAGCAAGTTGCCATCCACCCAGAAGCTGGCCCCGAACTGCGTGCCATCTCTCCTGAAGCCGCTGCAAGTCAACCGAACTGCTGGTTTGCATCATCTTTGCCCAGGACTCGCACGATCCCTCCAGTTGGTGGTCAGACAGTTGGGCGACCTCACCGATCCTGAAGACACAGGATGTGGGGGAGGTAGATTTGGTCCCCGACGTCCCAGCAGCACTTGGAAAAGAGGGTGCGCCGGTCCAAACACGATCCCGGGAATGGCGATCACATCGGGCATCATGCTGCCACCGGGTCCATGCCCAGCACCCGTCGCCGCATGTGGCCATGGAGCGCCAGGTGCATGCCCAGGAACCGCGCAGCCAACCTTTGAAGAAGAACTCACACCGCGCCTTATCTCTTCGCCTCCATGGGGCAAGGCGCCTCCCCTCCCAGCGTCTCCATCATGGCTAAACCGATGGCGGGGCATCCTTAGACTCCAGCAAGTCACGTACACGCCTTCTGGGGTCTCCTGTCTCGCCAATGGCTTTGCCTTTCCCTCTTCCAATGCCAACAATACCTGCCACTTCTGGTTGAATCTTTCTCTGTCCATCTCCAGACGCAGCGGGGCCCGAGGAATTTGCAGAGCCCGAAGAGGCCTCGCTGCTGATCCATATTATGTTTTCCTTATCTTCCCCACCAATATGGTCGTGACTTCGTCGTGCTCATCGATCTTCGCCTTGGCTTTTGCACGAGCTTCGCCGAACAACTTTGTTGCGATTGCTTGAAATTAATTTGCCCGCAGTTTTTCACATTTTCGGGTTTGTTCAATGTCCGTCGCCGCGACGTCCTCGTAGTCCGCCAGGCCGAACATGTCACTCGCTCCACTGAATGTGAACGTGGCTGTACCGTCGAGTGTTCCGTCCAAGCTGATTGTTGCCATCGGCGCCACTGTTGGAGCAGCAACCTCAGCACGGAGCTCTCGCATCGCCTCAGTGTAGACATTCTCAGCTGCCTCCAATTTTGTTTGCGTGTCCAAGAGCTCCTCTTCCTGGGCAGCAACCTTGGCTCGCAGCACATCGAGGTGGTCACACTTGTCGGCACGCATGTTTTCTAGTTGCTTGATGTCGCAGCTGGTTTGGTCGGCTCGTTTCTTGGCTGGCTCAGGCTGCTGCGTCTGAGCCGCCATGTATGCCAGTTCGTATTGTGTTGCCATAGATGTGTTCCCACTTTTCTTCGCAAGAGATATGTTCTGAATAACTTCATCGGACGACATCCCAGCGACAGAAGGAAGAGCACCAGCAGGAGAAGCATCATCAGTGAACGCGGCACGCCGCCCACCTTTGTTGCCTCCCTCTGGTTTCCCTTTTGCCCCCTCTTCTGCTCAGCAGCGCCCAAGTCCTCTTGCTTCCACACTGTGGGCCAATGGCGTCCACAGTGTCTGCACTTAGCCATTTGGAATGTGTTCTTCCTGCAGCCACATGCCTCACACTTCCATGCACCAGATTTTCGCCAAGGATATCCCACCATGGGCGAGAGGACGGCTGAGGCAAGACTGCGTTCCAACAGGAGCTCACGAAAACCGATCGCCACCCGGGAGCCAGACATAGGGTCGGATTGGTTCTTACCGCGTCGCCAGGGCGGCCCCAACGCTACGCGCTGCCAAGGGGTAGTCTGACGCTCTGCTTCGCGGGGTGGGAGGCTGGGAAAAGCTCGGCACGTGGATCCCTGGAAACCGCGAACTGGATAGCGTGTTGCGCCGGAGCGTGGTGGGCCAGAATCGGCGGAGCCCTTCCTCGACCCCAGCACGCCCCGCTCCCTTCACCCTACATCCAGCGCTCGCCTTCGCGCCCCTCCTCCAGTCCATACACCCTGTCCTCCTTCTTCCTGCGCCGCCGCCTGGTCATCACCTGCCTCTTCTGGGTCCTGTCCTTCTTATCCGCCTCCTCTCCCCTGTCCTCCTCGTCCGCGTCTTCCTCCTCAGCCTCCGCCGCCGCTCTCCGCCTCCCACTCGTCCTCCCTCCTCCTCACCCTCGATCCTCGTCCTCCTCCTCGTCCTCCTCCTCCTCCTCCTTCTCCTCCTCCTCATCCTCGCTCCTCCTCCTCCTCCTCCTCCTCCTCCTCCTCTTCCTCCTTCCTTGTTCTTCCTCCTCCTCCTCAGTCCTCCTCCTCCTCCTCCTCCTCCTCCTCCTCCTCCCTCCTCCTCCTCCTCCTCCTCCCCTCCCATCGTACTCGACTTGGTCCTCGTCATCGTCATCGTCATCATCATCACCATCATCTCACCATGATCATCATCAGCATCATCATACTCATCATTATCAACAGCAGCACCATCAGCATCATCACCATCAGTATCAACAACATCAACCTCAGCATCATCATCATCATCGTCGTCGTCATCAGCATCAGCGTCAGCATCAGCATCAGCATCAGCATCAGCATCAATATCAGCATCCTTATCATCATCATTAGCATCACCATCACCATCATCATTCATTTGCATCATCAGCAGCATCAACACCATCACCATAGTCACCACCAGCATCGTCATGGTCATCATCGTCACCAACATCATCAGCATCATCGCAATCGCCACCAGTACCATCATCATCGCTATCGGTATCATCATCATCATCATCATCATCATCATCATCATCATCAGCAGCATCAGCATCACCATCATCATCAGCATCATTATCATCGGTTTCCTCATCATCCGCATCACCATCCTCAGCAGCACCATCATCACAATCCGTATCATCATCAGCTTCTGATTCATGTGCACAATCGGCATCGTCATCATCAGCATCATAATCGTCTTCATCATTCAGTTGCACCATCATCAACAACATCAGCATCACCATCACCACCGTCACCACAAGTATCGCCATCGTCACAATTATCACCATTCATCATCAGCATCAGCATCATCAGCAGTATCATCATCTTCATCGCCGTCATCATAAAAAGAATCATCATCATTGCCATCAGCATGACCGTCATCATCAACATCCTCCTCATCATCATCGTCCGATTCCTTATCATCAGCATCACCATCCTCATCACCATCATCACCATCCTCATCACCATCATTCCCATGACTCAGATGCACAATGGTCATCATGACCAACATCATCATCACTATCCTCATCACCATCAGCAGCATCAGCATCAGCATCAGCATCAGCATCAGCATCAGCATCATCATCATCATCATCATCATCATCATCATCATCAGCATCATCATGGTCATCACCATCAATATCATCATCACCGTCACCAACATCACCATCATCACTCATCTGCGTCATCATCCGCACAATCATCTTAGTAAAAATCTGCATAATCCTCTCCTGCATATTCATCATCACCACCATCAGCCTCACCATCATCATCGTCGTCATTCTCTGCCTCATCATCGTCGTCGGCATACTCATCTTTATTATCATCATCATCATCATCAGCATCATCATCATGAGCATCATCACCGTTGTCATCCCATCATCATCTGCATCATTACTTTTCCAAGTAACATCATCATCACCATCGTCTTCACCAACATCATTACGATCTTCTAAACTCACCATCATTCCTTATCATCATCAAAACCGTCAACAGCATCACCATCACATCATCATCAACAGCATCATCATCGTCTGTATCATCTTCTTAACCATCATCCGATTCTATTTACCATGCGTGTGTATCATCGGCGTCATCACCATAATCGTCATCGGCATCGTCATCATCACCATGACCATGATCATCAGCATCGTCATCATCATCCTCATCATCATCAGCAACAGCGTAAGAATCATCATCGTCATCGTCACCATCATTACCACCACCACCATGATCATTATCATTATCATCATCATCCTCAGCGTTATCAACATCACCATCGTAATCACAACCACCATTATCAATTTCATCATCATCATCATCCTCATCCTCATCCTCATCACCACCATCACCATCACAACCACCATTATCATCTTCTTCACCACTTCATCACCTCCATCATGGACCTCCCCCTCCTGGCCCTCCACCTCCGCGTCCTCGTCCCCATCTCCTCCTCGGCCGCTGTCCGCCTGAAGGCGTTGAGCTTCTCGAAGCTGTCGCCCCAGCGGCCGAGGAAACTCGGGCATCGCCGGGACAGGAGCCGTCGCTGTCGCCGCCGCCGTCGCCGTTGCCGCCGCCGCCGCCGTCGCTGCCACCGCCGCCGTCGTCGTCGTCGTCGTCGTCGTCGTCGTCGTCGTCGTCGTCGTCCCCCTTTCCCCCCCTCCTCCAACTCCTCCTCCTCCTCGAGATGGCGGGAAGCGGAGGCAGTCTGCTGAATGGAGCGGAGGGGGGGGGGGAGGCGCAGGAGGGAGGAGGGGCTGGAGTCGGTGCTGGCTCCAAACGGCCCCACCGCCACTGTGAGGCGGGGGGTGGGGCCCGAGAACGACCCCCTGGAGGCCGAATCGAGGAACACGGCCGCGGTGGAACGGTATCGAAGGAAACGGCCGCGAGGTCTGGAGGGAGAGCCCAGAAGCGAATCGGTACAGCAGATAGGCGGTTGGAATGAATGGGACCGGCAGACATCAGCTGCCGAGGCGGGAGTCGGATCGGCGGAGATCGGCAGGCTAATAAGCCTGCGTTGAGAAACCGGAGCCAGAATCGGAATCCCGAGTCGAATCGATTCGGGATCGGAATCCAGCGAAGCGAATCGCAGGAATCGAAACGAACCCTCTGGGGCCCGCACTGAGTCAGGTCAATGCAAACCAGGGTCAGCCGGGATCTGCAGGATCCTGTGCGCAGACCCGGGCATATGCACCCCTGGCGCTGCAGGATCCTGCAAGATCCGGTGCTCTGGTTGCCCCCCGTTTGCTTTGACCCCCGTCTCGGTTACACGCAGGAGTGACCCTGGGCAAAAGTGGCCTTTCGTGCGCAGCCAAGGAGGGGCCCTGTGGGGACACCGTCAGGCGCGCAAGCCGCTGCGATCGCATCGCATTCAGCGATCGGGGGGCCCCACTGGGCCTGCACCAGGTAACTCCTGCGAAATGCCACTCGTACGTCTAGTCTGAGGTCGGGCGTGTCCCCTACAGGCGGATTTTGGACGAACAAAAAATTATCCCAGTGCGATCCTACCTAGGAGTTGGAGCCTCTAGGAAAGCAACACTAGTAGGAGCGGTAAACGCCGTCCTCCTCCTTCTCCTCATCGTCGTAGTTGTAACAGTAGCGGTAGGAGTAGTAGGAGTAGTAGGAGTAGTAGGAGTAGTAGGAGTAGTAGTAGTAGTAGTAGTAGTAGTAATAGTCGTAGTCGTAGTCGTAGTCGTAGTCGTGGTCGTAGTCGTGGTCGTGGTCGTAGTCGTAGTCGTAGTCGTAGTCGTAGTCGTAGTCGTAGTCGTAGTCGTAGTCGTAGTCGTAGTCGTAGTCGTAGTCGTAGTCGTAGTCGTAGTCGTAGTCGTAGTCGTAGTCGTAGTCGTAGTCGTAGTCGTAGTCGTAGTAGTCGTAGTCGTAGTAGTAGTAGTAGTAGTAGTAGTAGTAGTAGTAGTAGTAGTAGTAGTAGTAGTAGTAGTAGTAGTAGTAGTAGTAGTAGTAGTAGTAGTAGTAGTAGTAGTAGTAGTAGTAGTAGTAGTAGTAGTAGTAGTAGTAGTAGTAGTAGTAGTAGTAGTAGTAGTAGTAGTAGTAGTAGTAGTAGTAGTAGTCGTAGTAGTAGGGTTATGTTGTGCTGCGCTATGCTATGCTATGCTATGCTATGCTATGCTATGCTATGCTGCGCAATGCTATGCAGGGCTAGGCTAGGCTAGGCTATGCTCTGCTATGCTATGCTGCGCTATGCTATGCTGCGCTATGCTATGCTATGCTATGCTACGCTATGCTTTTGCTTTGCCTTCGCTTGTGCCTTCACTTGTGCCTTTGCTTTTGCTTTTGCTTGGCACCCAGGGAGCGCAACTGGGGGAACCGCGCGTTTGCTTTTACCTTTGCCGTTGCTTTTGCTTGGCTCCCAGGGGACCGGGGGAACCGCCCGGGGCGGTTAGCACTGCCCGGCCCCTTTGAGCTACCGAGAAAGAACCCTTCTAGGCAGAACCTAGGCGGTAGGGAACATACGCAAGAATACATACAACAGATTAAAACATAGTCTAACAAATTGTCCCCAGACTATGTTTTGACCGTTTTTGAATACTCCTCCTGTAGATGGACAGGCCCGACGTCCGTCTGGTCGAGAGGCAGGCGGGGCACGGCCCCGGGCCGGGCCCCGGGCTTGGACGCGCAGTTGCCGTTGCAGTGCTCGGAGCCCCAGTCCTCGACCTGGCCCGAGGGCCGCGGGCCGAGCGGGGCGCGGGCGGGGGCCCGGGAGGCCGTCGTCGTCGGCGTCGCCTCGGAGGGCCCGCCGATAGGGTCGACGTCGTCGTCGGCGTCGCCTCGGAGGACTCGTCGGCGTCGCCTCGGAGGGCTCCCTATCGACGGGGTGTCGTCCGAGGCGACGCCGACGACGACGACGAGCCTCCCGGGCCCCCGCGTCGGGGATCGAACAATAACATAAACATAACAACTCGGAGGTCCGCGCGGATTTCTCGGATCGGCACTGGGGCCCCCTGGCGGCGCCTCCGGCTCCGCCCCTGGCGCGCTCCACGCGCCAGGGAGGGGGGTCCAGCGCGGATCCGAGAAATCCGCGCGGACCTCCGATTTGTTATGTTTATGTTATTGTTCGATCCCCTACGCGGGGGCCCGGGAGGCTGTCGTCGTCGTCGGTGTCGGCTCGGAGGACACCATGTCGATAGGGAGCCCACAAAGGAAGTATACGCCCAACCACGTATGGCAGGTTCGCGCAGCGTCGACACGCGCAACGGTTTTGGACACCACGTCGATCGTTCAATCTTGAATCGATCGCGGCCCCGATCGTTCAAGGTTGAATTCCGTCGGGTGCAACGGCGCTACCGTGTCCCTCGTTGCTCCCGCGTCGCAGAATTCAAGCTTGAACGCCTTCGCCGGCGTCGCCGGCGCGCCACGCCGCATGAACCTCCCGTACATGAATACGGCCCCCCAGTCTGCGAGACGAGCCTCGTGGTACGAACGCTCGCGCAACGCGTGTTTTCAAACCAACGTGGATTCATGCACGTACGTCCTTCTTTCGCTCCTGAGAGGCTGCCATCGTCGTCACCGCCTGCTCGGAGGAAGGCACGCAGCAGCAGCGGAGTACGCGAACCCAGACGGGACCTCGCATCGCCCTGGGTGGCTGCGAACTGCGCAACTGTCGCCACTTTCGTGGGTTCCTGGGAAGCACGGCGGAGCAGTGGAGGACGCGGATCCAGACGGGACCTCGCAGCTCTCTTGGTGGCTGCGAACTACGCAACTTCACGTTCGTGGTTCCTGGGAGGTACGGCGAAACCGCGGAGTACGCGGACCCAACTCGCAGCTCCCTGGGTGGCTGCGAA